AAATGTTCAACAAAAAAGCAGAGTCGATGACAATATTATTTTTTTTATATGTGTTTTGCTTATTATGTGATTAAAATTTTCAACAGATAATTTTATATTCCAATCTCTTCAAATCTTGGGTTTTTAAATATAAATGTGACCCTCAAAATTTTGAGCCCACATAGACATGACATTCAAGAAGACTTCACTCCATGATGTTGATAATATCTAATCAATTTTCAATCTTTTAAAATAAAGTTTTTTTTGTTTACATACTTTCATATAGATAACTGTCCCTCTCTTACCAGAAAATTGTTCCTTCAACTGGCACTATAACTAATATATCCTACTCATGAAAAAGGTCTTATAAATTAGTAACTCATCATTCAAAGTTTGACTAGATAGGTTGCATCATTCGATCGGTAGTTGATCAGAGTTATATAGGTATTAATGATATAAAGATTAGTTACGAAGAAATCTATGTTACTACTTTTTTTCGTACAAAAATTAGTTATGTAAAATTTAGTTAAATTTTTCGTAATTTATCAACAAGGACTGTGGTGAAGTGATAAGTACGTATTTATTCTTAATGCAGTCTTGAATTCGAGTTTCCCTGAGTACAGAATCACCTTTATTAAGAAGCATTTTACCTTCACTGTGAAATTTATTTGCGCGAATCTGAATTTAGTCGGACTTCAATATGAGTATCAAACACCGAAAAGGAAAAAAAAGTTGTTAATTGTAACATAAAATTAGTTAGTATTTAAAGACTTCCACACTAATTAAATAACTACTTTCAACATTTTGTCCAATTTAACTAAGATCTTTCTATGATATATACATATAACTTTTTTCTTTCTTCACCAATCATTTAGCAAAAAGAATTTACAAAAATTGGAAAAACATAAAGGCTTAAATATTGTTGAACGAATATAAAATTAAATGCATTTTGACTTGGTAAGCCAAGGACTAATTATGTAGAAATTAGATTAGACCCACAAGGACAGGTCAATTTGTGTACCAATCCTTTTTTGGTCATAATTAACATAAACATTTAACTAATATGCCATTAAAAATGTCTAATCTTTCCCTTTCATCTTTTTTCAGGATAAAATAACTTTATATATATTCATTGGTGGAGCAGATGAACTATTTTCTTTAACATTAAATCATCTAACATAAAGTCTTTCTCAAAAAAATATCATGATTATTTTACTTGTTTTTTTTTTGGACTAATAAAGAAAAAAGCACAATCATGAACGATTTAGGTTACACGATATTTTCATAATCTTTATAGGTAATTATTTTGTAGAGAAAGTAAAAAGAGATAAAGGGTCGTGACTCTTTGAAAGATTTTTTCGTGTTTGATTCATAAACATAAAAATATTAATTAAAAAAATATTTATATATAATTCAGATAAATAACATAAAATGTCAGAGGTGTGAATGGTCGGAATGAGACTATGTGGTTGAGGGCGCCGTCTAGAATATCACAATTAATGTAAAGTATCAAGTCATTTTCTTAAATAACGATTTTCCTATATATACCGCTTAGAAATTGACTCTGTATAGCCTAAAATTTGTCCCGCAAACGCCCCGCTTTATTGTCATTCCTACCAAGGGGTATTTCAAGTCAAAACTAAAAAGTTTGGATATCTTTTCCATTAAATTGCAATGTGGGTGGGGTGGGGTGAGGAGGGGGGGATTTGCGTTGAACAAATAATTGTAACAAAGGATATATGTTCCACGAGATACGTATAAAGTAAACATGTGTTTAGATGATTTAATTATTATCTGTATATTCTAAGGCTGCAAAATTTAGGCTAAATTTCTATATATATATTTTTAAAATTTAGGTTTTGGTCAAAATGAATGGAGACAAGTTTCACAAGGATTTTTAAAATATTAGCCGTAATATTAAAAATTATTTGCCAAACATTTATGCAACATTTGACTATATATATATTCTTTGTAGAAAAATCCAAAAGTATTTTGTTCCATTCCTAAAAAAAAATAAAATTAAAGTAGGTGAGCTACGTATGTAGATTTGAGAAACTCTTTACCTAACATGATAAGTGTTCTCATTATGCAAACTTCAAAGTAACTATATACATATATTACACATAACTATATAATATATTTAAGCATCGAATTTATGATTAGGAATTATTCGTGGTATTCTCATGTTTCCAAACAAAAAACATACATAATATCTTCGATAAACATACAAAATATTTTTTCACGTAAAAATTAAAATATTTGACTGATTCAGAGACTATGTTTTATCATAATATCTTTCAATTGTTCAACAATTTCTCCGACTTCTGCCTTTATAAGTTAGTGATAAAACTTCATGTACACACTTCTTTTCTACGTCTTCGAACCTTGTCTTATAAAATTATATATATATGTTGTCGATCAAACTTCTTTTTAAGAGTAGTCCTTATCGAAATTGTTGAGTCTTAATGTTTTCAGAACCTAACAATATATAACCTACTAATTTTTAGTGACACTTGTGCCTATAATACTATATATTTATAGGCCATAAAAGGTCAACAATGTCATGCTCCTATCATTATAATTGCATGTGCTCCTTCCTAGCCTTCTTATTTCCACAATTATAATAGCATAAAAAATCGAGTCAGATTCAGAATTTATAATTTTTATCGTAAATTTATCTAACTATTTTAAGATAATGTGATTGGATTTATAATTAAATGCTTCTAAATGTGTATATAGAATTTTAGTAAAAATTATTGAATTTATCGACTAATTATACAAGGAGGAAAATGACTAGCTATCATTTGAATACGACCCTAGAGCCAATACTTAACGTGTTTGAATTTTTTTAGAATATGATTCCAATAATGCACAATTTTTCTACTAAGATATATTATTTTAATTTAGAGTTGTTATTTTCCAGTTTCCTTAAACGGTAACATTCTGGAAAGTTTATGTGGAATTATAATGGACCTTATATGGTTCAGGCAGCAACAATTCATTGAGTGTTTAGTCAGATAATAATACTTTATATTGTTTTTTTTTATTTTTGACTTGATAAATATTTGATGCAGAGAATGATATATCAATAATTATTTTCATGTGATTAATTTTTTGAATTAGTTAATTTACATCGATGTATGTTATGGTGAGATAGTTATATCTTTTTATTGGTGTATTATTTAAGTTGTACATGTTGTTGGATTGTTGTATTTTAGAGGAAACAAGTTAAGAGTAATACTGTTAAATCGGTGTAGATTATGTTGTTGTGGCTTGAATCTCTTTAAAGAAAGTGAGATTTTCTTTGTCAGCCTAAAGATTTGTTTATTCATTTTTGACATTTTATTTTCAATAGTAATTTATTGTATTTGTGGTGTATTGCACCAGCACCCTTTATTCTTGATCGGATGATTCATGTTTTGAGCTTTGTAAATAAAGAAAATTTTGATAGGATAGTGTCCCCGAATAGATACTATAATGTGTGATTTAAATTTAATCAAATTTTACGACAAATGCTGAATAGTAATTGGGGGGGAAAATCCTTCCAGAAGACGACCTCTTTAAAGGGTAAAATATTATCAAATTCCATAAATTTATCATGATTAAGTAATTTAATGAAATTTTATATTAATTGATGGTGTAAATATTCCAAGAAAGAAAAAGAAAACACGCAAGACACGAATGTAAAATCATTAGAAATTTACAATCTTTTCAAAAAAATAAAATGACAAACAGGTTCCATTAGTTTAGAATAGGTTTAAAATAGTTCTTAGTTATATTCACCTTTAAGCAGATTTGGTCCTTTAAAATTTGTCAAATATGAGGATATTTATCTTCATCAAACATAAATGAACCTTGGAAGTTAGATTTAATGAGCATTGAAAACAATATCTCACTTTTAGAGGTGTAAATTTTGCAATTTGTGCTATTTTTTTTAATTTATTTATGATATCTGAAACAGTTTAGGTGTTGCACTTTTTAGAATTCAATGAGATTTTCTTGATATTTGTAGTTAAATTTATTCGAGAAGATCGAATATCTCACTTTTAAAAAAAATGTAAAGAACCAATATTGCTTAATACAGTAGTATTTAAGGGACTATTTTTTTCATAACCTAAACAGAAAGAACCATATTATAATATTTTCTTGTTTCCATATTTATTTTTCTCTTTATTCGATTTTTTATCTATGTCAGATATTCATATTAGAGCTTTTTAATTAATTTAGATTTATATTGTGTAAAATTCATTTAAGGAGGAAGCACTCTCTAACAAAAAGAAATTGAAAACTCAGAAACAAAATATCTATTAAAAATAAAAAATCTTATCCATCTTACAATAATCGGTATATGTCGTTTTCAGCATATCAAAGATATTCTTGAATATTAGAAACAATAATGGTAGTGTAAAACAAGCAGCAATAATATAAACAATCAAATGCGTAAGCAAGAAGAAAGAAGAAAAGAATATAACATTAGTATTCAATTCACATAAATAATTACGAAATTGATACGACTAATAAACAATTCACCTTACCTAGAATTAATTAAATATCTTCAAATAATAAAAACCCCAAATTACATAGACGCATAAAACTCATCAAAAAATAAGCATCTTCATTTAATATAAATGGTTAATCATCCCACATGCAAATAACTAAAAATAAAACCATATATCCTTCAACCCATCTCCTCCAAACTATGACACGCAACACACACACAAAAAAAAAATATTCAGTCCAGTTCAGTACATAAAACATCCCGTTTATGTAAGGTTCGAGAAAGAGTCACCTAAATCTATATATATATATATATATATATATATATCACTCGAACCTGTGACATATATACTACAAAAATACAATATTATCGTTGCTCCATACTTAAGACACTAGACTATATATAGTTCTAGTTAATTAGCTACACAGTTTTTAATTACACAAGAATAAATTAAAACATCATCATAATCAATACATATAAAGTCATAAAATTGCATTAAATGTTTTAGTACTTCACTAAATGCTCATGGCTCTCTTTTGTTGATCAATGATGCAACCATATCTTGAAATAGTCCATATTGATAGTCAGGGCCTAATTGAGGTTGTTGTTGATGATAATTATTATTATAGAAGGAATTATTTATAGGAATATTTGGATTATAGAAAATTTGTTGTTCATTTGGATTATGATATAATTGTTGTTGTGTGGAGGATAAAAAGGATGGAGATAATAAAGCAGCAGCAGCATTTCCTCTAAGAGTAGCTGGACAATGATGGTTATGTTGGCCTTCATATGTAGTGATCACAATTGATGGGTCTTCATATGATCTTTCAACACGTTTCTTCACACTACACTTTTGACTTGTGCACCTATAATAACTCCTACAACAATAATAATCGTACAAACGGCAGAGTGTCAGAATTTAAAATTTATAGATTCAGAGTAAGTTATTCAGTTCTATTCTATACAAAAATTATTGAATTCTGTTGAACCAGTTATCAATGAGCTAGTTCAGTCCTAGATAATAACAACAAAGGGTATTTGTAAACCTTGGACCAACTTAATAGTGTAAAGCAAGGTGTATATAATTATTAACAACTCATATTTTGATTGCGTGAAACAAGCTTTTGTGTTCCTAAATATCTAATCACCTCATTATTGTAAAACCAAACACTAAAACTAGACCATTTGAAAGAAGTTTAATTATTTCTCTAGCTAGGTTATAACTAGTCTCATATTTTTTTTTATGGATAATTATGTGTAGTTATCTTCTAAAATAAGATAACAATGATCAATATAATTAATTCGAAAGGCAGTATATAGAAGTTAAACTGGTTTGAGAATTAACAAATTACAGTTTTGAATTTATGATATATGTATATATATATGCATTCTTCTAGTGCAATTTACCTATGCAATTTTTATGACATATATGCATTATTCTTTTAGTGCAATTCATCTCTATTATACTAGTACTCTTTCCTTAAAACTATGTATAATAGAGATGAAAACTTAAGTAAACTTTTGAAGCAATTAAGTGCTAGTACTATTAATTAAGCTTGTTAATCCATTTCTAATAGTAATTTAGAAAAGAGTGTGATTCTAAAGAAAATATACCTTGGAAAAGGACTGTTCTTCACTGCCTTCTGACCATATTTTCTCCATCTATAGCCATCTTCAAGATTATCAATCTCACTCTTGGTCATAAATGCAAATCTTGGTTCCTTTTGTTTCTTTTCTCCTTTCTTCTTTGCCAATTTCCCCCTAAAATAATTAGCACAAACTTTAATTTATGCAATAATTTTTTTAAAAAAATAGTCCATCTTAACACTCAACAACATTATGCATGTACACAAGATTTCCAAATAAGCTAAGCACAAATCAAATTAGGAATAGTATATAAATAAAATTAGACTAATTGCCATGTTTTAATTTCTTCATTATTGTTTTTTATTATACATAACTATTTCATTTTGATGCACTTGAGTCAGAGTCTTTCAAAAAAAAGTCTGATCTCTACCTCCGCCTGATAGCTAGGATAAGCTCCGACTACACTCTACTATCCCTAGAATCTGCGTACACACTACTCTCCCTAGACCCTATATGTGGGGTTACATCCTTGTTATATTGATGTTTTTTGAGACTTTGGGTAAATAAAATTAGGGTTTTCTTGGCTTACATAGCTTAAAAAAGGGGGAAGAAGACTTAACTAAGGAAAAGGGTAGACATTAGATATTTTTAATTTTCCAAAAAATCAGTAGAAGAATAATAAGCTTGCAAAACTAGGAAGAAAAGTCTAGCCAATTAATAATCTAATAAATTAAGACTATAGTGGTCAATAACCTAATCTATTAATTAAGTAAGAAACTTCCTCACAATTTAAAGATGTGGCTATACTTTTATACTAGTACTATAGGACCAAAGAAAAAAATGACTTACACTTTCTTAGACTTATTATCATCATCATCATCATCTCCATCTAATTCACACTGATCATCATCTTTCTTGATTTTTGAAGAATCTTCTTCATGACATCCACCAACCTCACTATTAGAAGATGAAGAGATTAATGAATTAGGTGTTAATGGAATTTGATTATCAACACTATTAATATTCTTTCTAGAACATTCTTGATGATGATCTATTGATGGTTGTGGACAAACAACTTCAGAGGATGATGAACAATTATTCATCCCAAAAGCACTTGACAAAGTGTTGTAATGATCCATTGACCCTCCATGTAAACACTCTGTGAGATTACTCATATAAGATGAAGAATAGTCAAAATCATGATGATTATGATGAGGGTTTTGTGTGTTATTGGCTTGATTACCATAAATTGAGGGATTTTCACCAAAGAAAGGAAATGCATAATCATGATTAAAAGGGTTATTATCAGACATAGAGAAGCAAAAAAAGGGGGTTTTCTTTTTTGTTGTTGGGATCTAAAACACAAAAAAGAGTCTTGAACAAAATGATGAAGAGAAAATAACTCAAGATTCTTGAATTTATGCAATATTAACAAGAGCTATTGATTCTTGAATTTTCTTTTTTTTTTCTTTTCTTGGGAGTTGGGAAGTGTGTATGTATTACTATAGTTTAGAGTGGAAAAAGAGAAAGTAACTTGTTTAGGGAAAATAGAAATGAATGGTTCTTGCTCAACAAGAATAATGGGATATTGAGGTACACAACAAGCTATATAGTGTGTAACAAATGACCATAAAGCCCACTTAATGTGTGTGTACTAAGATATAGTCTTTATGGATTACCTTTTAATGGAACATAATATACTTTAATCAAAGGGAATTCCATTAATTTGGTACATGTATAGTTGAATAGGATCACAACTTTTTTGTCATCATTTCACAATTTGGTGTATAAATATAATAAACATTTTTTGTCATTTTTTACAAGTATGAATATGGATATATGAGGTTGTGGTTTTGCGGAATTAAAAATTAGTTCTATCATTAAAAATAAAAAGGGTAATGCACAAGTATTTCTTCAATCTATGCCCGAAATTTCATAGATACACTTATACTATACTAAGGTGCTATTATCCCCTGAAATTATTTTATTAATAATTTTCTATCCCTATTCGGCCTACGTGGCACTATCTTGTGGGCGAAATGCTGATTGATTTTTTTTCAAACAAGTGCCACGTAGGCCGAAAAAGGGTAAAAAACTACTTATAAAATAAGTTCTGGGGATAATAGGACTTTAGTATAGTATAAGTGTGTCTCTGAGATTTCGGACATAAATTGGAAGGGGTACTTGTACATTTTCCCAAAATAAAACTGTTGTATACATTAAAAAAAAATTTAGATCGAGTCCAATCTAAAATTTTAATCTATTAGATGAACGAGGTCTTTCATACTTAAATATAGTAATCGCTTCAAATTTGAGGACGTTCAGTAAATTCGTTTGTTATGATTTTTCTTCTTTGAATTCACGCCACAAAATTAAAAAGCATTTTGATACATTTGATATTTTAATTTAAAACTACAAAATTAAAAAAAAATTCTTTTCTTAAACTGCTTATTAAGTCAAATTATGTCCTTTTTTTTTTTAAGGAAGGTAGTAATACATGCGGTGAAAAAACATGTTGCAGTAATTTTTTCTTTTTAACAAATGAAGGACAATTACTATTTTAATTTAATTTTTTTGGTTGAAACTTATCTGTATTACTACAACAGCAAACTATATAGCTCAACTTGCATTAATCGTATTTAATTAATCTCAGTGAATTAGCTGCCTATGAGCACATAAGTCCATTAATAAGCAAGGTTTTTAATAAAGATTTAATTGATTTTTAGTGGGATTAGGTCACGAGAATTTCTCTTGTGAACCCGTTAATTAAATAATCTTACTAAAAATGTCATGTTTTCAATAGGGAAATACACTTACAAATGGTCCAAATATAATAAATTAATTTATAAAATAGATAATTTAATAATACAGAGGAAATTAATCAAGTATTTATCACTCGTGGCTAATCCTCTGTCATCTACTACTACATCACATGAACCATAAATTTTGGAGTAAGAATTAAGAAATCTATTAAATATTTTATACTTTTTAAAAATAAAATAAAATAATTCTTTCAAGATCTCGAGTGTTATAAATCAAGAAGAAAAATTAGAAAAGATTCAACCTTAACCTTAGCTTCCAATTATATATGTGTATATATATATATAAAACATTTCATTGGCTTCTAAATACATAGACTTGTTATTGTTGTAATTCAAACACTTTCGGTTAAACAACACATATAAAAATGAAATATTTTTAAACGAGGGAAAAATATTTCAATCCACATAGTCTAGAGTAATTTTTTTTTTCTCTTTGCGTATTCTAGAATCTTAATTATAAATATTATGACTTATTCCACTTTTTATATACTTTTTTAAAAATAATAAAAATGTCATTTTCAAAGACCTTCAAAAGTTTCAAGATAAACGAATACTTTACTGTTACTGATATTTTTAATTTGTATTTTTGAACAAGAAAAAACATAACAAGGAGTGTAGAAATCAAGTGAAATGATAGGATACTAACCTAATAATTTTGGTACAATTTGAAAAATAATAATAATAATAATTAAAAAAAAATGAAAGGTTGCCGACGTGGAAATTGTGGTCAAACTCAAACGCCTCCGGAATTACGGTCTGTTTGGTTGTAAAGTAATCAATCAATTTCTTCACACGTGTCACGAAACGGGCACCGCCATTTGACCCGTAAACATAAACACACTTGTCACGTGGGACAAATTTTCGTTTTCCACGCCTTATGTCAAAAAAAAAAAAAAAAACTTATACTTTCGATTCCGTCTGTTCTCATTTATACATCGTACTTATTAAAAATAAATAATATTTAATTATATTAAATATTAATTAATTATTAATTTTAATATTAACTAATGAAAGGTAAAATCGAAAAATACTTAAAAGTAGTTTTGAGAATTGAGTAATAATATGTTAATTTGAAGGATGAAACAAAAATTAAATTAAGATCAAAATGGAGGGTGTACTTCATCGTTCATTTTTATTTGTTATTAAAAGATAAGTATTTTTTTCTACGATTTATTATCAGTAATAAATACTTATTTTTTGGGACCTAATACTAAACGTCAGTTAATAGGGATAGTATGATAAAATAAATATATTAATATGTATACCAAGTTAAACAATGACAAGTAAAAATGAACATAGAGTATACTTGTTATTTCACAAATCAATTTATAAATAAAATTATTCTTCCTATTTTATCCTTAAAAGTTATTAGTCCTCTAAAGTATAAATTTGACCAACACATGAAAGCTAAAAGATTAAATCATATTTATTGATCAATTTATTTAATTAAAATAATTCAATTTTTGTAAAATTATTGAAACTTGACTTCAAATAAAATCACAAATAAAAATATAATAATAAACTTACGTAGTTTCTTAAGACTTCATTACGTCAATAAGTTATTTATGTTAACGTGATATTTAATGAAAAATATTCTATTGTTGATAATGGGATCACTATATGGTCCATTAATCTTGTTAGGGTTTATAGGTTAATACATATACATATATTTAATTAATTTTTTAATCTAAATACATAATTTATAGGAAAATGAATGAATTTCTGAATTTACGAATCACACCTAGCCTACCCTTGACTACAATATTTTAACCTGCAATCATGAAATATTGAAATACCAAAATAGAAGAAAGATTTTTTTTAATGGATTTTTTTTTTAAAAAAAATAAGAGAAATAAATTAGAATAGGAAGTATACATACAAATACAATTTTTTCAATTACTAAAAAAAATAAGATTAATATTTTAATGTACTTCTGTTGATAGATTCTTCCCACGTCATCCCGAACTTTGCGGCGTACTTCCATGCTGTTAATACAAGTAATTTTATTCTTTATTCTATTTGAAAATAAAATATAACTATTTCTCTCTGACGAGTATCAATTTGGTCGTAAACGAGTTATTTTGAAATAGTATCGCAATAATAAATTTAATCAAAATTAAAATATTTTTTTAGACCCTAAAAATTATCTCCTTTAAACATGTATATTTGCCCACATGAGCATAAAAATTAAATAGTAATGTTTCGACGTGGATAAATATATATATTTTTAGAATACACTATTAAATAGTCCAATAGTTAAAAATAGTACACTATTAAATAGTTCAGGGAGCTAATAGGTCCTCATGAAAGTTTAATATCTCAACAACAAATTCAATTAAAATTGAGCTATTTTTCAGATACTTATCACCAAATTTTATTCTTTTTCATCTCAAAATTATCTATTTTTATCCTTCGTACAAAACGAGCCTTAAAAAAGAGACAAAAATAAAATTATTTAAAATATCTCATTAATAAACTTCTTAAATATTTCTGTCAATTTTCCTAAAATAAAAAAATAAAAAGTCGTCCCACCAAATATATCCTAAATTTTAAAAAATGTCAATTTTTGTTCATAAGTACCTAAGCTTTTATTTTTATTTTTATATATATATAGACGAAATCTTCGGGCCGTAACACTTTTACCTTTATTTATTTTGAGACAGTTGCATTACATTATTGCCTATATATACGGAGAAAATAAAGCAAATTATACAAATTTTTAATGTTAACTTTATTCCTTAGAGAATGGTAAAGACGCACACATTGTCCCTAAAATTCATGACTTTTAGTTAAAACAATGATTCAATGTTCTCTCCATGCAAAATCATGTTAAATATAATAATTATATATAATTTAGATCGAAAAAAGCAGAGACGAATTTAAAATTTTAATAATTTGATTATTTATTTGTGTGTGGGAATTAATTAGAGCTAATCAAGAAAAATGATTATCCTAGAAAGTTTAATTAACTTGAGCAGACTTGTTTGATTAATATGTTCAAACCTCTTAATTAGTTTTTTTTTTCTTAACTTTCTGGTTACTTCTGGTACAACTTCTATTTAGTTATTTATTATTATTATTATTAATATTATTATTATAATAACAATAAAAATAATAAAATAATAAATAGGCACGTTTGAACTTCATCCTAATATCTATTTATAGTGGTACAAAGCTAAAGTTCATATGGAACTATATATTGCAAGTTGCAAAGGTCAGTATATATCTAACGTGGTATTTTATTAACCTTATAATAATAAAACATTTATACGTAGGCTGAAAAAATATGAATATATATTTTATGTATGTATAGTAGAAATTGAATTTTCTTTTTAAATTTATTTTTTATATATATATTTAAAGAAAATTCAGACTTTGCGTATTAAGATTTTAATATTATAATATATAAAGAATTATAAAAGACGACAAAAAAAATTAAAGAAAAAGAAGAAGATGAAGAATCACACGGACACACAGCTAGGTTTGAATTA